CTCCATTCGCATTCTTCCCTTTACCCCTTTAACTGTTGCTTACCCTTCAAATCTCAGCTAAATGTAACCTGCTTTGGGAAGTCTTTCATGATCACCACCAAGCCAACCCCAGACTCAATCAAGTTGCTCTTGTGTATTTGTTCATGGCTCCAGCACTTTTCCTTCAATGGTAAAAACAAAAAAATTTTTTGAGACAGAGTCTCAATCTGTTGCCCTAGGTAGAGTACAGTGGTGTCATCATAGCTCACAGCAACCTCAAACCATGGGCTCGAGCGATGCTCCTGCCTCAGGCTCCTGAGTACGTGGGAGTACAGGCATGCGCCACCACATCCAACTAATTTTCTATTTTAGTAGAGACCGGGTCTCACTCTTGCTCAGGCTGGTCTTGAACTCCTGAGCTCAAGCATCCTCCACCTCGGCTTCCCAGAGTTCTAGGATTATAGGCGTGAGCCACTGCACTGGCCAAACTATAAATATTTTATGTGATTTAGTTAATATCTATCTCTCTCCACTATAGAAAAACTCAATGAAGGCAGGGATGTATGTCTTGCTATTGTATTCCTAGGCCTGGTAAGTATAGAATGGTTACAATAATACATGTTGAATAATTAATGAATGGGTGAATGTATAAATATGAAGAGTGTACAATAAAAAGATTAATCTCTTCAATAAAAAGAGTTTAAAAAGAGACCAAAAAGATGTAGTAAACAGTGTGGAAAATCAAACAAAAAAATGAGACCTTTAGAGATTAACTGGTTTATATAGCAGGCAAAAATATCCTGAACAATGAGGTACCATGAAAAGCACAGAATTCAGTTACCAGAAAGAACAATGTTCAAGTTCTTGTTTAACCAAATAATAATATGTAGCAAATCTCACTATACTTTCATTTCCTCAACTGGCAAATGAGGAAGTAACAAAAATACATGCACCATGTAGCTCACAGGGCTATTTTAACAATTAAATGCAAAGATATAAAAACTCTTAGTACACAGATTCTTTTAAATGAAAAATGGTAATAGTAGCAGAATTGTGACAGAGATAGAAATACTTCTTGTTAGCATAATAGTGGTGGTTCCAATGGTAGTGATGTTTCTATTCTGATTAAGAAAAATATTACTGTTCTACTTCATGAGTCTGAAATTAAAAGAAAAAAGAAAGAAAAAATAGTCATGGTCATAGAGTGATTTTTTTTTTTTTTTTTTTTTTGAGACAGAGTCTCGCTTTGTTGCCCAGGCTAGAGTGAGTGCCATAGCGTCAGCCTAGCTCACAGCAACCTCAAACTCCTGGCTCAAGCAATCCTCCTGCCTCAGCCTCCCGAGTAGCTGGACTACAGGCATGCGCACCATGCCGGCTAATTCTATATATATTAGTTGGCCAATTAATTTGTTCTATTTATAGTAGAGACGGTCTCGCTCTTGCTCAGGGTGGTTTCGAACTCCTGACCTTGAGCAATCCGCCCGCCTCGGCCTCCCAGAGAGCTAGGATTACAGGCGTGAGCCACCGCGCCGCCTCATAGAGTGATTTTTAAAAGAATTTTATTTCATCAGGTTTCACATGAAGCAATTTAGAAGGATAAGGAAGGTATCAAGCATGTATGGTATTTTGCTACTCTGGTCAGTTCAGGAAATGAGGCTAAAAATTATTAAAGAAAGAAAGGAGATTCTTTTAAAAACCTATCACATGGTAGGTACTATGTTATGTATTTTACATTTATCCCATCATTCATCCTCCCACAACCCTGTAAGATAGATATTATATCCATTTTACAAAGGAGGAAAGTGAGGCTCAGAGAGGTTGTGAATTTTCCTAAGGCTATTCACTAGGAAATAGCACCTCCATAGTCATAACCTAGACTTTACCATTATTAATTACCACTGCTCTGCTCTTATCTCAACTTCACTCATCTCTGACCAACACCTCCTGATTCTGCTCATGCCTGTTACGAATGTGACACCAACAATTACTCAACACTATAAGAACCCACAATCCACTTGACCTACCCACTTTCTACTGTCTCTCACCCCTCTATCATCTCCCTTCTAAGCTCCTTACCCAGCCTAGGATTCATGGTCTTCATAATCACTCTTTATGTATACCCTTATTACCCTTGCCTTTCTCTTTCCATCTTTTATAACCTACAAGCTCCTACCTTGGTTAAATCTAAAACTCTGTTTACACCATGCTAAGGTCTGTGTAAGGATGTGGCTGGAGAAAAAGTTAATCATTTTGCCTGGTCTCACTTTAAATTGATGTCAAATAAATTCTAGTAATCACTTAGTGCTGCTACCTAGTAACATATTATAGTCCCTTAATCCAGTGTCCCCAACCTTTTTGGCACCAGGACCAGTTTCATGGAAGACCATCTTTCTATCGACTGGGGACAGGGGAGATGGTTTTAGGACGATTCAAATGCATTATATTTATTGTGCACTTTATTTCTATTATTATTATGTTGAGTATTATAATGAAATAATTATACAACTCACCATAAGCAGATTCTAATGCCACTGATCTGACAGGATGCAAGCAATGAGGAATGGCTGTAAATACAGATGAGGCTTTGCTTGCTCGCCCACTGCTCACCTCCTGCTATGTGGCCTGGTTCCTAACAGGCCATGGACCCATACCAGTCCACAGCCAGGGGTTGGGGACCACAGCCTTAATCCATCTATTCTCCTACTCTTCAACACAACTATTTCCCAACTTATCCCTCTTCTCAAATGTCTAATATTACCATACTTTCAGCTGGCAATGAAGCTACCAGAAGGCAATGTCACATGTTCCCACCACATCTACCAATCTTCTCTCTGCACCCATACATTCTGCCATCCTTCCTATTACTTCCATGAATTCCCATGCTCTATAGGCCAATCCTTCACATTCGCACTACATTATATAACTTCTCACTCAAGAATGTCAATCCAGTAATCTCCTACAATGTCAATTTTTCCCTCTCTACTGGATCATTCTCATGAGCAAATAATAGCTATATCTCCATTTTAAAAATACAGCTCTACATCAACTCCCCGTTTCTCTCCAGGTACCACTCTAATATCTGCCCTTTCACAGAAAAACTTTAAGAATTGTCTCAAATTACTATTTCCATGTTTTTTCCTCCTGGTCTCTCTTGATCCTTTAAATCAGACTTCAGTTATCTACTACTCTTTTGAAAGAGTGTACTCACCTTGCTTGGCAAGGTGATCGAAGATCTCCCTATGGCAATCCCAATAGTTAATTCAAGTCTGATCCTATTATTAAACATAGCAGCAGGACTGACCTAGTTAACCCTTCTTGAACTGCTTTCTTCACCTGCCTTCCAGAACATCACTCTCTCTTGGTCTGCTCCTACCTTTATGTTTCCTCTTCATCTCACTGCCTCTAAATGCTGAAGTGCCCAGCATCAGACCCAGGCTTCTTCTATTCTCTAACTACACTCTTCTCTTAGATGAACCATCCATTCTCATGGCTTTAAAGACTACCAAGATGCTGTTGACTACTCCTGAACTTTTAATTCTTGCCCAGACATCTTTCCCTAACCCCAACTGCTTACTTAACATATTCAACTTGGGTATTTAGTAGGCATCATAAGCCCACATGTTCAAAAAATTTTGATTTCCCTAAAATCTGTTCTGACAATCTAGTCATCTCATTAACAGCTATTCAACCCTCTAGTTGTCAAGCCAAAAACTCTAGATTATCATTGATCTCCTCTTTTCTCTCACATCCCATTCTGCTCCATCAAGAAATCCTCTCGCTAGACTTATAAAATATCATGGAATCTGATTACTGCCTACATTCTCCACTGTGACCACCCTGTTTTGAGCCACTGTCATACGTTGTGCCTGGACTATGCCAAACGTCTCTTAGCTGCCCTCTGTTTTTGCCCTAATGTCTATGCTCTACATAGTACGAATGCAATGCCATTGCTCCCTGGCACTCTGTATTCTCCTTACTATGGTTATTGGTCCTTATCACAATTGATATATATGTTTAATTATCACTTGTTATTGTCTCTTTCCTCACTAGAATGAAGGCTTCATGCAGCAGAGGCTGTGTTTTTTAAATATTTACCGCTATATACACAGCACCTAGAACAGGTATAGCATAGCAAGCACTAAATATTACTGTAGGAGGTGGGGGATGATGGTCTCAATTTGAACACCAGATTATGTCTGCTCCCAAACCTCTGCTCTTTCGCTGATCTCTCTTTAAGTTTATTATATTGGTCAAAATGTGTCAACTTCCTTTAAATTATTATGTAAAATGGTTCAAGTTGAAACTAAGAAATTAATGTAATTCTTGCTTTTCAAGAATTAGTGGGATTAATAACATTGTAACTATTTTAATATAAACCCAACTATATCAATATTGTGAAACTAAGATCCATTTACTTGAGTTAAGCTGAAAAGCATTATTTCTAAGTGTTTACTAAGCTTTCCAAACATTCACAGATTCAAATTACAATCACTTTTTTTTTTTTTTTTTTTTTTTTTTGACTTTGTTGCCCAGGCTAGAGTGAGTGCCGTGGCGTCAGCCTAACTCACAGCAACCTCCAACTCCTGGGCTCAAGCAATCATCCTGCCTCAGCCTCCCAAGTAGCTGGGACTACAGGCATGTGCCACCATGCCCGGCTAATTTTTTCTATATATGTATTAGTTGGCCAATATTACTTTCTTTCTTTATAGTAGAGACGGGGTCTCACTCTTGCTCAGGCTGGTTTCGAACTCCTGACCTGGAGCAATCTGCCCGCCTCGGCCTCCCAGAGTGCTAGGATTACAGGCGTGAGCCACCGTGCCCGGCCTACAATCACTTTTATCAGTTAGTAAAATACAGTAGTTAATGGAAACATGTTAAGACCAGAAAATCCTAGTAAAATGTCAACCAGAAACATTTGTTATGCTCAAAGTTTTAAATACAATTTAGCATAATCTTGCAAGTTACAAATATAGTACTAACACATATTAAATGCACATAAAAAATAAAAATAGAAACAATACCCTTTTTAGTTGCTGTTCTTTTAAGCTTCTCACTGTCCTTGCAGGCTCAGAAATGAAGTTTTTATAGTTTTCACATATATTGATCCGAGACTGGGCTACCTGCATTGTTCCTTCGAGAAAGGATTTCCAAACAGGATACATGCTCCTAAATTCAAAGAGGGATAGGAAAGTATTAGGTAGGGAAAGGTAAGAAAAAGTTAGCTAACATGTTCCTAGCTGGCGAACACTGACAGAATAAATGTCTTCTTTATATCTGTAAATGTATTTAGACTGGCTTATAGACAATAGCAGCACATGTAAGAGGAATCATGGCATTTACTCCGTTCCTCTATAACACAATAGGGAGTTTTGATTCATTAGCCATTAATAATAATGGAGCAAAGGGATAAAGAATTATAATTCTAGATAAAGCTAACACCATAAAAATTAGTAAATATTTCAGACTCTTCAAGCCTTTCACAGTCACAGGGTCATCATATATCAAGTTTTATTACTTCATTAAGGTATGTCCTAATTTTACAAATGAGGTAACTGATGCTCAGAGAGATTTAGATAATCATTCCAGGTCAAACAAGAATGTAGCAGTAGTGAGATATAAGACAAAAGCTGAGTACCTCTAAAGTATTAATACATTCTCTTTCAAATAAATCGTATTTTCACACAAACTGATGTGGCTGGAAAACTATATCATGAACAATTGCTTCTGTACTTGAGAAGTCTATTTTGTCTGACCAAAAAAATTATAATTTGTTGCTCTACCTCTGTCTCTCGTAAAAATGCTTAGCCAGCATCACACTGTGCCTTGGTGTCATTCCAAGCAAATCCCAACACCTTTGCTTGATAAATGTGTTTACCAATCTCTTGGTAAACTCAAAAAATTATTCATCCTTTGCTTTTTCTAGCCAATTGCCTTTTCAAATTTCTCTCCTACGTTGGTAAGTGCCTTAGCCAATTCCAGCATGCTCTTATACTAGTTGTAAACACATTTTATAACAATGGGAGGTACTTTGTTTTTAAAAATGAGTACTTCTAAAGACATGGACACAAGCCTGACGCAAAAAAAGAAAAAAGAAAATTTAAAAAAATATGAAACAAAAAGTTAAAAAAAAAAATGAGTACTACAATAAAACTTTGATAGATTATAATAATTCATCTCCTGAGACTTCCCTTCTGTTCATATGGATTTTCTACTACAGCAATGTATAAGACCATATGCTACATAAAATTCTAGCTGTGGGTCAATAGCTGATAGTGTAAAAACAAGAAAAAGAAAAATTGCCTGGGTCCTTATCCTAGTTAGAAGTGGGAAAAAAAAAAAAAAACTTGACAAACTATAGTTTTCAACCAAGGAGTCTAATGAATTAGTTCATAGACCAAATGAATCTATTTGGATGGAAATATTCATTTAGGCAGAGGTAGGCTGGGTGTAATGGCTCACACCTATAATCCTAGCATTGTGGAAGGATCACTTGAGCCTAGAGTTCAGGGCCAGCCTGAGCAACATAGCAAGATCCTGTCTCTACATATGCCTATTGTCCAAGTTATTGAGAAGGCTAAGGCTGGCACAACAGAACATGACCCCGTCTCTAACTAACCAACTAAATAGGCAGAGGTGTATCACCATTTCTTTGAAAAGACTCAGCATAAACTAGCAGCATAAAAGTACCAAATTCAAGACTTAAGTCTTAGACTTAAGACTTAGAATTAAGAACAGCAAAACTAATGCCCTCCATGGCATTATAGCATGACAACCAATGGAACTTACAGCGTCAACTTCACCACAGGCCCTTCTAAGCATGCCAAATAAATTTTCTCAGAAAATACACTGAGAGAAAAATTTAGTACTATGCTTTGTAACTATTAATTTATACTTAATAAAATCATAATGAAAATGAAAAAGAATCATTATGAATTGTGATGGAGGGAGGAACCCTCCATTCGCATTCTTCCCTTTACCCCTTTAACTGTTGCTTACCCTTCAAATCTCAGCTAAATGTAACCTGCTTTGGGAAGTCTTTCATGATCACCACCAAGCCAACCCCCAGACTCAATCAAGTTGCTCTTTGTTATTTGTTCATGGCTCCAGCACTTTTCCTTCAATGGTAAAAACAAAAAAAAATTTTTTTGAGACAGAGTCTCAATCTGTTGCCCTAGGTAGAGTACAGTGGTGTCATCATAGCTCACAGCAACCTCAAACTCATGGGCTCGAGCGATGCTCCTGCCTCAGGCTCCTGAGTACGTGGGAGTACAGGCATGCGCCACCACATCCAACTAATTTTCTATTTTTAGTAGAGACCGGGTCTCACTCTTGCTCAGGCTGGTCTTGAACTCCTGAGCTCAAGCAATCCTCCCACCTCGGCTTCCCAGAGTTCTAGGATTATAGGCGTGAGCCACTGCACCTGGCCAAACTATAAATATTTTTATGTGATTTAGTTAATATCTATCTCTCTTACTATAGAAAAAACTCAATGAAGGCAGGGATGTATGTCTTGCTATTGTATTCCTAGGGCCTGGTAAGTATAGAATGGTTACAATAATACATGTTGAATAATTAATGAATGGGTGAATGTATAAATTATGAAGAGTGTACAATAAAAAGATAAATCTCTTCAATAAAAAGAGTTTAAAAAGAGACCAAAAAGATGTAGTAAACAGTGTGGGAAAATCCAAACAAAAAATGAGACCTTTAGAGATTAACTGGTTTATATAGCAGGCAAAAATATCCTGAACAATGAGGTACCATGAAAAGCACAGAATTCAGTTACCAGAAAGAAGACCAATGTTCAAGTTCTTGTTTAACCAATATAATAATATGTAGCAAATCTCACTATACTTTCATTTCCTCAACTGGCAAATGAGGAAGTAACAAAAATACATGCACCATGTAGCTCACAGGGCTATTTTAACAATTAAATGCAAAAGATATAAAAACTCTTAGTACACAGATTCTTTTAAATGAAAAAATGGTAATAGTAGCAGAATTGTGACAGAGATAGAAATACTTCTTGTTAGCATAATAGTGGTGGTTCCAATGGTAGTGATGTTTCTATTCTGATTAAGAAAAAATATTACTGTTCTACTTCATGAGTCTGAAATTAAAGAAAAAAAAGAAAGAAAAAAATAGTCATGGGTCATAGAGTGATTTTTTTTTTTTTTTTTTTTTTTTTTTTTGAGACAGAGTCTCGCTTTGTTGCCCAGGCTAGAGTGAGTGCCATAGCGTCAGCCTAGCTCACAGCAACCTCAAACTCCTGGGCTCAAGCAATCCTCCTGCCTCAGCCTCCCGAGTAGCTGGGACTACAGGCATGCGCCACCATGCCCGGCTAATTTTTTCTATATATATTAGTTGGCCAATTAATTTGTTTCTATTTATAGTAGAGACGGGGTCTCGCTCTTGCTCAGGGTGGTTTCGAACTCCTGACCTTGAGCAATCCGCCCGCCTCGGCCTCCCAGAGTGCTAGGATTACAGGCGTGAGCCACCGCGCCCGGCCTCATAGAGTGATTTTTAAAAGAATTTTATTTCATCAGGTTTCACATGAAGCAATTTAGAAGGATAAGGAAAGGTATCAAGCATGTATGGTATTTTGCTACTCTGGTCAGTTCAGGAAATGAGGCTAAAAATTATAAAAGAAAGAAAGGAGATTCTTTTAAAAACCTATCACATGGTAGGTACTATGTTATGTATTTTACATTTATCCCATCATTCAATCCTCCCCACAACCCTGTAAGATAGATATTATATCCATTTTACAAAGGAGGAAAGTGAGGCTCAGAGAGGTTGTGAAATTTTCCTAAGGCTATTCACTAGGAAATAGCACCTCCATAGTCATAACCTAGACTTTACCATTATTAATTACCACTGCTCTGCTCTTATCTCAACTTCACTCATCTCTGACCAACACCTCCTGATTCTGCTCATGCCTGTTACGAATGTGACACCAACAATTACTCAACACTATAAGAACCCACAATCCACTTGACCCTACCCACTTTCTACTGTCTCTCACCCCTCTTATCATCTCCCTTCTAAGCTCCTTACCCAGCCTAGGATTCATGGTCTCTCATAATCACTCCTTTATGTATACCCTTATTACCCTTGCCTTTCTCTTTCCATCTTTTATAACCTACAAGCTCCTACCTTGGTTAAATCTAAAACTCTGTTTACACCATGCTAAGGTCTGTGTAAGGATGTGGCTGGAGAAAAAGTTAATCATTTTGCCTGGTCTCACTTTAAATTGATGTCAAATAAATTCTAGTAATCACTTAGTGCTGCTACCTAGTAACATATTATAGTCCCTTAATCCAGTGGTCCCCAACCTTTTTGGCACCAGGGACCAGTTTCATGGAAGACCATCTTTCTATCGACTGGGGACAGGGGAGATGGTTTTAGGACAATTCAAATGCATTATATTTATTGTGCACTTTATTTCTATTATTATTATGTTGTAATATATAATGAAATAATTATACAACTCACCATAATGCAGATTCTAATGCCACTGATCTGACAGGATGCAAGCAATGAGGAATGGCTGTAAATACAGATGAGGCTTTGCTTGCTCGCCCACTGCTCACCTCCTGCTATGTGGCCTGGTTCCTAACAGGCCATGGACCCATACCAGTCCACAGCCAGGGGGTTGGGGACCACAGCCTTAATCCATCTATTCTCCTACTCTTCAACACAACTATTTCCCAACTTATCCCTCTTCTCAAATGTCTAATATTACCATACTTTCAGCTGGCAATGAAGCTACCAGAAGGCAATGTCCACATGTTCCCACCACATCTACCAATCTTCTTTTCTCTGCACCCATACATTCTGCCATCCTTCCTATTACTTCCATGAATTACCCATGCTCTATAGGCCAATCCTTCACATTCGCACTACATTATATAACTTCTCACTCAAGAATGTCAATCCAGTAATCTCCTACAATGTCAATTTTTCCCTCTCTACTGGATCATTCTCATGAGCAAATAAATATGCTATATCTCCATTTTAAAAAATACAGCTCTACATCAACTCCCCGTTTCTCTCCAGGTACCACTCTAATATCTGCCCCTTTCACAGAAAAACTTTAAAGAATTGTCTCAAATTACTATTTCCATGTTTTTTCCTCCTGGTCTCTCTTGATCCATTTAAATCAG